TACATAGTGTACTCTAAATTTAAGCTTAAAATTATATAATGATTTGTTAAAAGTAATTAATGAATATTTATATAAATATAAATATAAATATAAATATATAAATAATTAATATAAATATATATATATATATATATATATATTATATACATATATATATATTATTATTTAATAATTAAAATGAATTATTCTTAAATTTATTTAAAAAATTAGAATTTACTTGATTAAGAAAATGATAATTCATATTTTTCAAAAATTTAAAAAGAAGAAAAAAATATTAAGAATTATAAATTCGATAAAGAAGTAAAATATACAATTTAATAATATTAAACAAAACATAAAAAAGTATACATTGAATTTATTTTAAGATAATTAAACATAATTTCCATAAATAATAAACTAACTAACGTTTAAATTAGAGGAATATAGAAATAATTGTCAATTATATTAAGAAGAAATAAGTATACTGAAATAAAAAAATACTATCTAAGAAAATGAAAATAAGCAAATTAAATAGGAGAATAGTCGATTTAAAAGTAAAATAATAGAAATAGAATAAATTATAGATGAAATGATTTATGAGTAAAATTCAAAGGGCATCCTTATGGTAGAAAATGAATATTTGAAAAGCGATATTTCTTAATTATTAAACATAATAAGCTAATTTGGAGAATATACTGATTTTGTAAAACAATGTAGAGAAAATGATATGATATATTTAGGAAATATAGTCCAAGATATAAAAATAAAGGAAGAGAGAAAAAAAAGGGTAAAAATACATAGGCAAATAATGAAAAAGAATTATGGGCTCCTAAAGATGCTTTAAAAATAATACTTTAATTATAAAATAAATATAATTATTAATTAAACTAATGTTTTATTGAAGAAATTATTTACAGTTTTAATAAAATTTATTTAAATATAGAAGACAAATATAAAAATAAAGCTAATTTATAAGTATAAAATCTAAAAAAAGAAGTTAATAGTTATAAAATAAAAGAATAGGAAGAAATATAATATAAGTATATTTTTTTATTTTATTTTAATAAAAAAAAATAATAAAAGTAATGAAAAAAAAAATAAGAAGAATTTGTGTAAGAATGTTTTAAAAAAGTAGACTAGTATGAAATTGCATTAAAAGAAAAAGAAAAAACAATAGAAATATTAGAAAAATAAATATAAATTTAATAAAATAATAATATTAATTTAGAAAATATAACTTATTAATAAGCATAATAAGAGTTAGTGAGTTAAATTTAATAATAAATTCATATTTTTAATTCCGTAGTTTAAAATATGACTAATCAATTGAATAATAATACTTAAAATAATAATAATAATAACTTCTAACGTGTTTTAGAAATGCATAAATGGTTTTTTGATAATATAAATAAATATAGTATTTAATTAATATAAAAAATAGAAGAAATAAAAACTAATTTATATAATTAAAATATTAATAAAAACATTTCGAATACCTTTAAAAAATAAAATTAAAAACAAGATTATAATTCCTAATAAAACTATATGACTAGAACACCTAATCATCATTAAAATAATTCTTAATATTTTTTTGATAATAATATGACACCTAAAAATTGATTAATATTATATATATATATATGTTTTAGTATTTTTTTTTTTCTATATATATAAAATAAACTAAAAAAAAAGTATTTTATAAGAATATTAAAATTTTATTATTGTTAAAAAAAAATTCATTTTGATATATCTATTATATATTATAATATAATATATTTTATAATTATTTAAAGCTTTTTTTAACTCACATATTTTTATTTAAAAATTCAACTAAATCCAATAATTCTTCTTATTTAATGTTCAATTAATGAATATTATCGTTTTTATAATACATAAAAATATTAAAAGATTTCTTAACATAATAATTTTAATTTATTGTTTATAGTTATTTATTATCAATATATAGTTTTGCTAATTACTAAAATTTGTCACAGATTAGAAAGTTAATTGAAATTATTTACATTCATCAAAAATTTATCATTTTAAAAATAAGCGAAAAATGAATATGAATTGTTATTTACATATAAATATAATTCATCATAATTTTAAAATTTTAAAATGACATTTCCTTTTTATATTTTGTTCTCAATTTATAAATCTATAGATATTTTTTTAGAATATTACATTTTTTATTTTTAGAAAATAATAAATTATTTATAAAATATATATTTTTATATTGATAAACTAAATCAATATAAAACATTAAAAAAATAAGTGAATTATTTGCTTATTCATATATAATATTTATAATAATATTCGAAAAAGCTTTATTTTTAACTATATTACTTAAATAATACAAAAAAATAGTAAAGGCTTTAATAATTAATTATCATAGTTTATTTTCACGAAGACTATTTTTTACTTATGTTAACTATAAAATGGAAGATTTTTTCATGTTTTTATAAAGAAGGAAACTATTTAGTGTATGATTTAATTAAATTATGGTTTTTTATTTATAATACGTGTTTATTAAATTATATTTTTATTAAAAAAATACTTTTTAAATTTTTAAAATTTTTAAAAGAAAAATATTTTATTTTAAAAATCTTTAAATATTATTAATTTTTAATATTTAATTTTTTTTATAATATATTGATAATATTTTTTTTGTATCAAAAAATTATATTATAATATATTATTAAATTTTTTCCTATTAGTATTAATTTAAAATTAGTTTTTATAAAGTTAAAAATTAAAATATTTTTTTAATTAAAATTTTTAAAATATTATTGAAAAGTTTATTTATTAATATAAAAATAAAATATTTAATATACAGTATTATTACATTATTAATTAAAAGTAATAAAAATAAAAAAATATTGAAAGAAAATAAATATCTTATTTTTAAATAATTAATAATATTATTGTTAAATTTATAAAGACTTAAAATAAATATGAATTTATTATTATAATAAATATAAAGGAAAAATAAGGTTTATAGAATTATAATTTCAATTTGACTTTATAAAAATAAAAAGGTATTATAAATATATTTAAAAATAAAAATAAATATAAAAATATAAATATAAATATAAATAAAAAATAAAATAATAATAGTTAAATTTATAAATAAATATAAATATTTATAAATTTATATATTTATATATATATTTTTTAATATATAAATATTTATTTAGATATATTTTCATAAATAAATTGTTTATTAATTTTTTTTCCATTATATTTTTATTTATTAAATAATTTTTAAGATAGTTATAATTTTTATTTATTATATAGTTAAAAAATAAGTTTTTATAAATAAAATAATTATTAATATACATATTATTAAATTTAAATATAAATCTTTACAACTTATATTTATTTATATATATATATTAACTTTAAAAAATTAATATCATTTATTATTAATATTTTCTCTTAATTTTAAAAAAACATTAATAATTTATTATTTATAATAAGAGTCAATGATTTTAAAATATTTATTTTTAAAAAAGAGAAATGTTTATTAAATAAATGCATCTTAAATGAGATATATTTTTATATTTTTGATTTTAAAAATTACAATTTAAAATTCATCAATTGATTTTATAAAAAACTAATTTTATTTTTAAAAACTTTATTACTTTTACATTGATTAGAAATTAAAAACTGAGAAAAAATATATTTCTTATTAATCTTTAAGTATATTTATTTTATCCAAGCAATCCATAAACATATATAAAGTCGGATAAATTGTAATTATTTATTCTATGGGATTTTTTTATTTAAAAATTAATCTAAATTATCAAATTGTTTTAAGTAATTTATAATTTCTTATGTCTATTATATATTTTTGTAAAAAAATACTATATTCTGTTTAAAATAAGATAAGTTTTCATATTTTTATTCGTTTTATAAATAAAATATTTTTTCCTTTATATCTTATATATTTTTTTGTAAAAAAATTAAAATTTCTTTTTAAATAGCTTGGCTTTTAAATAAATATTGTAAATCATTTTTTTTTTATTAAAGTGATTTTTTTTATTAAAATGATTATTATTTTTATTATTAAAAGTTTATTTTTTTAATTTTAAAATATTATTTTTAATCATCTTAATTATTTTCTTCTTTTTCGTTTGATAATTCATTTAATAATTATTATTTTTTATCTTCTTCAATATCATTAATAAATAAAGATGATTAAATATTTTATTAATTCTCTTATATTTATTAAAATTATTCTTCACTACTTATGCTTTGAGATGTTTAGAAAATAATATTTCCATAACTATTTTTTCCTATATTACTATTATTATTAGATTATTATTAATTAGTATTTATTATTTATTATTATTTATTATTTATTATTTTATTAATATTTTAAATATTAGAAAATTATAAATATTCTTCTTTAAAAATTTCTTAGTTTTTTTCAATATTTTCGAGTATTTTTTCACATTCAATATTAAGTTTTTCTAATTATTCAATTAATTTTTCTAAAGGAATTCTATCTTAAGGTTTTTTTTTTAAACAAAGAGATATAATTTCACCAATTTTTCCTTTGACACTTTTTTCTTAAAGGTTTTTGTAGTCTTTAAATTGGAGGATTTATTCAATCACTTCTTAAGTACTATTGCCATAAAACAAAGGGTAAGGGGTAAGACAAAACATTTCATGAAAAATACAGCCTAAACTCCAAATATCAACAGATTTATCATACCCCTTATCAAGAACTATTTCAGGAGCTATATATGTGATAGTACCTAGTGATGATTTTAAAAGCTCGCTTTCTTTAAAGTAACGAGAAGTACCGAAATCAGCTATTTTTAATTCCAAATTTTAAGCTAAAAGTAGATTTTCGGGTTTAAGGTCTCTATGTATAATATTCTAAGAATGTAAAAAAGAAAGTCCTTTTGCCATTTGTATAGAAAACTACAAACTTTACATAAATGGAATTTAAAAATTATTATTTTATAAAAATTTATATAAATCGCACATATAGAGTTCTGTAATTAAATAAAAATGATTGTTTAATTCAAAAATTTCAATGATATTTATTATAAATTTATTTTTTTCTTTTTAGAGATTTTTGGAAATTTCAATTTCTTTAATTAATTATTTTTGGGAAATTTCGTCTAAATTAGATTTATTATTTTTACTGATTTTTATTATTATTTCTGTAATATTTTAAGGGTTTTATGGATCTTAGTGTTCTCCTAAAAATGTTTGGCATATTTAACCGTCGTATATTAACTATTTTATTTTATATTTTATATTTTTTGGACTTATTATTTCAGGAAATTAGTGTATATTTTTCATTTGTGCTCTTTTTTTTTTATATTTTTATAAGTATTTTTTCTTTTTTTTATTGTATAAATATATTTTTTTTATATTATTAATTAATATTTAGACTAAATTGTAAATTTTATTATTTTATTTTTTATTTCATCTTTATTTTATTTTTATTTTTATTTTTTTAATAAACTGTGATATATAATTATTTTTTTAATATTTTTTCATATATAAATTATATATAATTTTATATTATTAATATATATAAATATATTTTTATTTATAAATATAATTTTATATAGAAATATCTTATAATATTTTTAATTTATATTAAAAATAAAAAAAATATATAAAATTCATACTTAATAGAAATATTATTTAATTTTTAAATTTTTTGATTTAAATTCTTAAAAGGTAGCTAAATTAAAATTTTTGTATAAAAATATATTTTTTTAAAAATGTAAATATAAATAATTATAAAAATTATTATATAATAATATTAATATATATATATTTATATATTTAAATAAATATATATATATAATATATTTTTCTATATATATTTATTTAATATATTTATATATCTATTTTTATATATATTGAAGCGAAAAATTTATATAAAATAATAAAAAAATATAATATAATGCAAAGTTGGGATTCTGAATTCGACATACCAAAAAATAACAATAATTAAAATACTGAAAAAAAGTTATAAAATAAACCAATATATGTTGAAAGTAAAAAAGAAAATCCTTTTTTAAAAAATATAAAATGTATTATTAAAATCAGAATCTTAATAGGAAAAATCTTCTGAAAGTATCAGGCGACCTATGTTTTTTAACAGTAATAAGGATAAACCCCCATAATAATAAAAATAAGAAGAATAAAAGAAATAATAAGATATAATATAAGAAGCCTAAAAAAATCAAGAAACATTGAAAAATAATACAGGCTTAACCCCTTAAAATTGCACAAATTTAATATACATAAGAAGCAAATAAGGAGTATATAGTAGTAATATATTTTAATAAGGCACTGATGAAGAAAATAGATACTTTACAGGATCAGCAGATCAAATGATATAATCATAAGACCAATAATACATAGTAATAACTTAAGATATAGGAGTAACAATAGTAAGTACATAAGATAAAAAAATAATTTATAAAAAATAATTTATAAATATAAAAACTGTCTATTTGAATGTATTTTTTTTTTTAAAAAAAAAATATAAATTAAAATAATATAAAAAATAGTTAAAATATATATAAGTAATTGATCATATAGATAATAATAAATACATCCTATTTTTATATTCTTTTCCTGATTTTAAGCTTATAAATTAATGGGAACATAAACGTTTTATAAAGGAAAATGTTCCATATGTGAAGTTTAATTAAGGAGAAGAAAAAGCTTTTATTTATAATTACAATAGTGGCTTTTTAGAAGTAATTAATGTAAAAAATAACGAAATAATATAGCAAGCTGAAATGCAAAAAATAGACTTCTTTAGTCTTTCTCCTACTCACGATTATGTTGTTGGATGTGCTCCAGAACATATGATGGGCTATGAAAAAACTTAAGCTAGACTATAGTTTTACAATTTAGAGAAAGGTAAAAGAGAAAAAGTTAAGAATGTTGAAGAAGCTTAAGAAATATCATTAAAATGGTCCCCAGATGGGAATAATGTATGTATTTTAACCTAAGCTATACATGATTAGACTGGAAATTCTTATTATGGGTAAACTATTATGCTTTATTATGCTTTTAATTCGAAAAAATTACTTATTATTCCAACAATTGAAGTCAATATTTATATTTTTTTATATATATAATATTTTTTGTTATATATATAAGGGTCCTGCTCATGATTTTGCTTGGAATCCTAATAGTGAAGATTTTATGATTATTTCTGGTTATATGCCGGCTAAACCTGTTTTATATACTTCAAAATGTGAACCTATTTTTTAATTCGGAAATACTCATAGAAACACTATTAGATATAGTCCAAACGGAAGATTTGTACTTATTGGAGGATTTGGAAATATATCAGGAGACGTAGATATTTGGGATTTAAAAAATTTATAAAAAATAGCTAATTTTAAAGCGGCAACAGCTTCTATTATTGAATGGGGAAAAGATAGTAGAACTGTAATATTATTTTCTTATATATATATATATAAATATACGTTTATATTTAATTAATTAGATTCTAACTGCTGTTGTGACTCCGAGACTTCGTGTAGATAATAATTTTAAGGTCTTTGGATTTAATGGAGATTTAGTTAATTTCGGAAACTTTACACATACAGAACTTTATGATGTTTAGTGGAAAGTTTAGGAAAAAGTTGGAAAGGAAATTAGTGAAGAGGAAATTTAGAAAAATTGTTAGTAGTTTTTAAGCAAAAATAATTAAGGGTAGGCAAAAACAGGAGGAGGTGGAAGCTTTGCTGCAATGCTTAGAAGTGACAAGGATGATAAACCTTCGAAATTAACGGGATAAGAAGAATGGATTTTAAAAACTAAGGAATAAAATAAAAAGAAATGAGAATTTTTTATTAATAATATATTTTTGATAATTTGTTTATTTATTATTAAAATTAGTTTTTGTAAAAAATTAAAAAAATAAAATAATAATATTTAGAGAATATAAAAAAAATATAAATTTTTCATGTATGAATATCCTATTATAATATTTTTTTAATTTAAATGTGATAAAAAATTTATGTGTATATTTTTTTTAATTTTTATAAAATTAACATTCATTTATAATATTCCCAATTTTCTTCTTCTTCCATTATTTCTTCTAAAGTTCTAGTTTCTCCCATATATCTTTCAGGCCATTCTTCAGCATATTTATAATTAGCTTTAAATATATTAATAATATATAATATAGATTTTTTTTAAAAAAATACGATCAGCATAAAGAACTTTTTTCATTGATCGTTCTAAAGTAGGTTTATAAGTTGCACCGTAACCCCAATTTCTAAAATATAATATAAAAAAATTAATACAAATATATAAATATATATATTTTATAATATATATATATATATATATATATATATATAATTATTTATTTATATATTTATGTTTATTTGTTTATTATTTTATTTGTAAAATACCTTTTATTTATTTAAGCTCTTTATTCCCAAACTTAATCTGAATCTTTTCTAATATCTTTTGTTGCATTTTTACCAAAAAAGTAATATCTATCAAAAAGCCAATATCCGTAAATTGCTCCAGCAGCTAAATATAACTTTATTTTTTTAATAATATTATTTTTTTTTTTTTTTTATTTATTATTTAATTTTGTTTATAATATTATAATTTTTTTCGCTTTATGTTTTTTTTTTTTTCTATTATTACAGGTCTAAATCTTCTTAGCCACCATACATTAGTTTCAACAACAAAATTTGTATAATGAAAAACCATTTAATTTTTATTTTATTTTTTTTAAAAAAAAATATTTTATTTTACAAATTTTATTTATTTTATATAATGTTAAAAATATTTTCTTTTTTTTTTAAAAAAAATATTTTTTTTAATATTATTAAAAAAAAATAAACAAATTTAGTTTAAGATGTAAATACATAATTTTTTTTGAATTATTATAATATATATAGAATTTATTATAAATTTATGTTTTCTTAACTATAAAATATATATTTTAATTTTAAAATTAATTAAATTTTTGGTTTTTTAGTTAAAGTGAAATCAAATTAAATCTTAACAATTTTTATAAATATTATTATTATTGGATTTATTAAATTTATTAAATATATTAAACTATTCATCATAAATATTATTTTATTATTAATAGGAAAATCTATTAAATTCAATATTTTTCTGTTTCTATTTATTTTAGTTAAAACAATTGTTATTACAATAAAAATTAAATGATTTAAATAAATCAGTATTTTCCTTTTAATTATTTTCTATTTACTTATTATTTTAAAAAGACTTCATAAATTCATTTTCAAATGGATTAATCGCATTTTATTAACTTCCAATCTATTAATGAGTATTTTATGCTTAATCTAAAGTATCTTTATTTTATTAATTCGTCTCTATATTAGAAAAAAAGTTATTAAAAGTTTATGTTTAATATTAGTTTTATTATTATTATTAAGAATTTTATTATTCTTATTACTTATTATATAATTATTAATTATTTGCTTATTGATATTAATTTTTAACTTATTATTACTTCTAATTTTTTATTTCTTAATATTAATTTTTAGTTTATAATTATTATTAATTGTTTGCTTATTTAATTGTTATTTCTTATTAATTTTATAAATTCTATTTATTATTTTTTTAACTATATTTTTTTATTTTTTATATATTAAAAAAAAAATGTTTATTAAATTTCTTTATATATATATAATTAAATATTATTATTTACTTTTAAATATTTTTTAAATATATTTAAGATGGTGTTAATTCATATTTATCTAAACAAAAAATTTTATCTATGTATTTTGATCTTACAAAATCTATTTTATCTTATAATTAGTGTTCTGGATTTGGTTTTTAATTATTTTTTATATTTGATTCATAATATATGTTCGATTTTGAATTTCCTATTTAAAAAAAAATTTATGTCTCTTCTTCAAACCAACTATCTATTTTAAAACTTCTTACACGACTTATTGTTGGTCCTAATTTTCTATGTCCTCCTTTTTTATTATATTTTTTATTAAAAACAAAATAATTAATTTACCTGCACAATCTAAACATATAATAATTCCTAAATCTAATGAACACCAAGAAGGATTTTTTTAATTACAATCAGCACAATAATTATTATTATTTTCTTTTTAAATTATTTATCGAAATATTTATAATTGATTTTCTTCCGTTAATTTTTGTCTTTACATATTTTATTTTTTTTAATTCTTGTCTTGCCAATATATTCTTTTTAATTTTCACAATTTTTTTTTTTTTGAATTTGTTGTAATAATATGAAATTTAAAATTATAATTATTTTTCTTAATTATAATTAAAATTATTATTAAAAATTAAATAGTCATATAGTAAAATTTCATATTATTATTAAAAATATATAAAAAACAATAAAAAATAAAAATATTATTTTATATAAAAATGCTACAATATTTATAAAATATATATATAGAATAAATTATTAAAAATATATCTATATTAAAATTAATTTTATATAATTTTATAGTTCTGATAATATAAAAAAATTAAAAAATAAATATATAATAAAAATAAAATATTATAAAAAAATAATAAAATTAGTTTCAAATTAATTTATTTTTATAAGTAAAACTGATAATAAAAATATTATATTTTGTATAGAAAAAAATTTTAATAATTAAATTTGTTTTTTTTACTTTTATTTTAATTAAAAAAAAATATAAAGTAAAAGTATATATAATAAAAATATTAATATATCAAAATATATACATATATATAAAAATATCTTTTTAAAAAATTATTATTATAATAATTAATAAAAAAAAAAAGTTTCAAATTATATTTTTTTATAATAATAAAAAGACAAAATAAAATTATTTAAATATTATATTAAAAAAAATATACAATGTAAAGAAATTTAATAATTTTAACATATTTGTTTTTAATAAAAATAAAAATTATATAGTATATAAAAAAAGATAAAAATATTTATAAATAATAATATATAAAAAATAAATAATTATTAAATTATTTATATTATATAAAAATAATAATAAGATATTTCTAAATTTCTTTATATTATAAAATTAAACTTTAGCAAAAAATATTATTTAATATTAAGTAAAAAAATAATTAATAATTAATAAAAAAATATATATTTGATATTTTTTAATTTAAATAATATAATATAAATAAAATATGTATAAATTTATATATATGATAAATATATAATTTATATAATTGTATATATTTATATTATATTATATTTACTTATATTTATTTTATATATAATTTATTTATTATATTTATTAATTTTTTTTTTATTTTTTTTTATACTGGATTTTTAAATTTTAATTTCTTAAATTTTTTCATTTTCTTTTTATTTTAATATATTTTATACATTTATTTTTTATATTAAAATCTTAATACAAAAATAATATTTTTTTTTTTTTTTTTAAATATTTTAAATATATTTTGCATTATTATATATAATAATAAAAAAAATTTAAATATTTTGAAACTTAAATTAAAAAATAACTTAATATGTAAAAAAGATTTGATTAAAGATAGTTATCACAATAAATATGCTTATTAAAGTAAAGTTATTAATAAACATTAGATACATATGATGAAAACATAAAATTTCACACAGATCGGTAAATAATTTTTTAAATAATTTTTTTTATTTTTAACAAATATATTTAAAAAAGTGTTAGTGAAAGAGACTTGCATGAATTTAGAGAATTTTTAGATAATTTAAAGCGTGAAAATCTTGATAAAATAAAATTATTTTATGGAAAATTGCTGTAAACTAAGGATGAGAGTTTTAATTATTACAATTAGGATAATTAGTAGTCATGCGGCTAATTAATATCTGATAGAAATCAAATTTATAATGATTTATTATAGGAGTTCGAGATTCAAAAAGTAAAAGATGAACGAATTGAAGTTTTAAATAATTTTATTGTTGAAACTAATTTCGTATAAAGAAAATAATAGAAATTTTTTAAAATTTGGAAAGATCATCATATAAGATAATAATAAAAAAAAAATGTAAAATAATTATTTATATTTTTTTTATATATAATTTTATAGTTGAAAAGATTTTTAGATAATAGATATTTAAATAAATTAAATGATAAATCATTTTAATCATGGAGAAAGTATTTTTTATTTAATTTTTTATTTTAAAATAATTTAGTTATTCATATAAAATTGCTTATTAAAACAAAATATTTAAAAATTCAGAAAACGATGTTAATACGTTCAATAAAAGTAAAAATATTAAAAAATATAAAAATATAAATATATAAATATATAAATATATAAATAAAATATAAATATATATATATATATTTTATTATAGGTTATTTGGATATTATATAAACTCTTAAAAACGAGATTCAAAAAGTTGATGATTAAATTAATTCAAAAAGAAATTAAAAAACTTAACTTGCATATACTTTAAGTAAATGCTTAATGAAAACAATTTCTAGTTTATCATAAGAAGTTGTTAGCTTAAATAAATTTGCTACATAATCAAAGTAATAATAATAAATCGATATGACAGAAACTCAGGAATGTATATAAGAAATGAATGAATTTATTAATTAAAAATATTCAGGTTATTTTTTATTTATTAAATAATAAATATATTTTTATTTATTTATATTGTTTTCATTTTTTTTTAAAAAAAATTAGATATTAAAAATATTAAGAAAATTTATAATGATGAGAATGATTTGTAAAGAAGAGATTCTAAAAAAATTGGAAGTTTAATTACCTTTTAATAATATAATAATACTAATTCATTAAATTAAATTAATTTAAATGAAGCTCATTGATGATATATTTATTATAAATTAAATAAAATAGTTTATTTATTTTTTAACATAATATATATTTATTTTTTATTTTTTTTATATTTCTTTATATATATTAAGATTTTTTTAACTAAATAATTTTTTATTATTATTAATTCTAATTAAATAAAGAAGTATATATCTTATGCCAATTCGTATTTAAAATGATTCTTTTTATATATTTTATATAAAATAAAATATTACTTAAAAATAATAATATAATTTAATAAAAATACAATAATAAATTAAAGTGTATATTTTTATCCTTTTTATATTAATTTATAATATCAACTTTAATAAATAAAAAATATCAAATAAAATTAAATAAATAATACTAAACAAAACAAAAAAATGGAATAATTAAAAGAAATGCTTTAAAAAACATATAAAGGAAAAAATCAAAAGCAAATAAAAGCCGCCGAAAAAAATTTAAGATTATAATCAGAAAATCCCGAATTTTTTAAAAACCTTTTATAACTAGCAAAAGATGAATAAAGTATAATAAAATACAAAAAAAAAAAAAAACAATATAAATATAAATATAAAAAAAAGATGAATTAAGAAATGCTTCAATTGTATATATTTAAACATATATAAAACAAAAAATATCGGGAAAAAAAATGGATTAAGAAACTTAAAAATATATATTGGAATCATTAATCATTTAAATTAAAGAAAAAGGAATAACTAATTAAAATAAATTGAATTTAAGTAAAGGTATACAAATTTTACTGGCAGAAAATCGTTTAAATTTTTAACTTTTGAATGAGATTTTAGGATATATATAAATTAGTAAAGAACTTAAAAGTAATGATTTAATTTCTAATTTTATTATTTTAAGCTGCCTTATTGGGTCTATCAAAAATAAAGACTATTTAAATGTTATTTAAGAAAATGTTCTGGATG